CGCGAACCTGGCGGGCAACATACGGAAGTACGGAGATTGCAAAATATGCAGCAGCAGTCACAAAAATTACTGATGAGTAAAAGTCTGAAAATACTAGTTATTATTATAGTTAAGTGCTAGAAACATGATTATTTAGGACTTCCAATCATTAGGCACTGATTTTTATAAATGATTACTTCATCATGAAATCGAATATTTTTTGATTTTTTTGATTATAGTTGTAATTCAAATTTAGATTCCCAATTCAAAAATTTTTAGTCCGCATTAGTTTAAAGAGGGATTTTTAGATCTTAAAGTCTGTTAAAGTCTGTCATTTTTTTGGCCTACTTTAAATTTCAGTGTTTCGAAGTGAATGTGAGATTTTTGCATGCTACTTTTTCGAGTATCGTTGATAAATTTGTTTAAGTCCAAAGCAGTAAATCATTTAATAATTGTAAAGAAAGTGTAACATAAATGTTGTACAGTCTCAAACAAAAGGCTGATCGTAAATTGATGATCAGTGTTATTAAATTCATTATTGTCAGTTCCTAGTTTAAATGAAGCAATCTTTATTTTCCGATACTTTTTGATGTATGGAATTTAATTTATCATACATATTTCTCAGTTTGTTATAACCCACCTTTAGGATTATATATCGGCTGAAAACCGCGGGTAGTTTTGACCAGTAAATCGTATGTTGTCTTAATGGATCTTATATTCTTTCTTTAATCTAAAAGAGAATGATTTTATACTGTAATGGTTTTCTCCATATATTCAGACATTTCGGTATGCATTTCTATTTAGTAGAGATGAAAATCAAATTTCCATGAAATGTCCTTATGATTATGCTCCATTAATATTCACTTAAATGCTAAAAATTGCAACATAAAACTAGTGTTTGAAGTTCAAAAACAAGCTAAAATATTTTATATTTACAATACCTTTGATCTTTCATATTCGTTTTTGTATGTTTTAGCATTCGCAGCCCTTGTTTCTTTAATCTTCATTCCAATCCTTTCCTTATTGTACATTCTAAATTATGTGATAAAATATTAGACAATAAAACTTCTCAACTATTTCTTGAAATTTCTATCCTTTAAGAATGAAATTCTTTAAGGTCTTTTCAAGACCATACTGGCCGTTATAGTATGTATACTTTGGATAAATGTCGAAATGTTCTTATACACTTACATTATCACTGAAGAAATAATTTTTATATTTTGATTGGTTGTTTTAAATTTTTAGAATTGATAAAAATTAATGTTTGAGTGCTAAATATATTAAGCATTGGTTATTATTGGAGGCGATATGACATTATTGTCATTTCAGTTGATTCATAGATAGTGTTGAAGCGAACATGATAAGTGATAAAGATAATTGCATTAATTAGCTTGAAGTATGTTCTTATGGAGAATTTGTGAAAATTTTAACTTCCTTATATATTTCTTATGACAGGTAATGTATCATATGTTAAAATTTCTTGCTAGGGTTGTGGCGGTTTCTTGATCGATTACGGTGAAATTTTATCTTAGATTACTGATAAGTGTAATGATATACTGTATACAGAAATGAAAAATACAGCAAATAAACTAGATTATATTTCATTGATTGAGAGCTATTGAGAAATTCAGTGGAGCAATAATTAGTAGAAGAAATTCATTTTGGCTTTAAATTGTTCATTTTTTAGTTAAAGTTTAAATTTTTTAATAATTCAAACACAAGACCACAAGACATTACGCCATTTTCATTGCTAATTTATGTGTAATTTATTATCAAGAAATGTATAACATCGAAATGTGCTATTTCATTAGTCCTCGTGCTTACAAGAATTTTTTGAATTGTTCAGATGAAATGTCAAGTTTGCTTTGGAAAGTTCAAACCCAGTTTTTGTGAAATGCTTTTTCACTGGCCAAAGCAATAAAAGGATGCATTTTCCTGCATTGCAGTTCAAATATTCAGGATATTCTGTCACATCTATCTTTTCCAAACGTTCCAGCATTGTAAGTTTGCCATTTAGGAAATTCTAATCATTATGCCTTCCACATTGTGCACATTCCGATAGTGCACTGTTTGCAGTAAGGATAATTCCCCTTTTATAATTTTAATATTCTTTATTTTTGTCAATATGATTTTAATATTCAGCATTCTAATATCATGCTTTTGACATTTGAAACATTTCGAGATTGTGACAATCATGTTTGACTTATTTTCAGTTCTGTTATTTCAACATTTTTGATATTCTGTTACTGGGATTTTGATATTCCGACTATACCACTTTGGAAAACTTAAGATCATTAATTCGAAATATATTCTGTTGTGTCATTATCTTTACTTTTATTATTTACATATATGGCATGGACGGAGTAACGACAAGAAATAAATCAGTGAAGTTACACAGCATTAGATATGGGTTGAGTGAAATTGTCAAATCTATAACAACTACATTAAGTAATCTACTCTAAGAATTTCATAACTATATTGAACCAATTAGTGAACTTCTTTTCATTCTGCAAACACGATAGATAGAAGTCTCAACAAAGTATACTATTTGTTTTTACTATTTTAAAAGTAGTTTAAACAGCTGCAAACACGGTAGATAGAAGTCTCAACAAAGTATACTATTTGTTTTTACTATTTTAAAAGTAGTTTAAACAGCTGCAAACAGAAAAAAAAACGAATGCATACGATTGATTGATCCTTCGATTAAATTGCTATGATTTGATCATTTAGTAACAAATAAATAACAAACTTGTTCTCTAATAAGAAAGATTTGTATGCGTTTGCGGTGGAAATTCTTGATCGGAAAGTACCATTAGAATTCGATTAAGATTAAGATGAATTTAAATTTTTTAATAATTCTGATCTATTTTTTTACAACTAAATCTGCTTTTTACAACTATGTTTCATTTTCCCTTTTTTTCATTCGATTTTTCATTTTTTTTTTGCTCATTTCGAATTTGAAATTGTAAAATGTGAACGAGATATTCGAATTTGAGTAAATTGATTTAAATTTAGAAAAATTTTGGTGACAGTAATCATTTATTGATCATTTCTATCCAATATTCGAGCTGTTTTTAAACTTTTACATATTATTCTTTATATTTATATATTTATGTAAATAATTCACTTTTATATTAATCCGTATAATTTGATCTATCAAAACAGGTTTATATGTTCATAATGTGTGTTAATTTTCATTTTCCGTCCTGTTTCTTAACCAACTAGATCAATTTTTCCTTCATTCTTTTAATCAATCAATTTTCTCAAAGTTTGTTTATATCATTTACTTTTACATGCGATTAACCACAATAACCTGATATTCCCCCCTACCATATGTATTTTGGCAAACATTCATTTTCAGTACTTTCCGGAAATAGTCTAAGTTGTTGTTATGTTGCCCTACGACTTAAAAAAAACCAACTTCACTTAACACTTTATGCTATTAAATAGTACAAAATTTTTTTGTACTATTTTAAATTAAATAGCATAAAATTTTTAGCGCTATTTAAAAATGACAGTCGATTTCTAAACTGAGATCTCAAGGTGATATACCAGTAAACGAGGAGTATCGTAACAATTTGATCATTTTAATTTTTCTCAATTTGATTATTTTAATTTTGGTGTTCTTCCATCTTCATTTATTTATTTATTTTTTTGATTGCTTGTTTAAATTATGCTTAATTATTTCACATTATGCTTATCAATAATTATTCGCAGTGATAAATCTGAATAACATGGTTTATTATTGATAATAGTGCCATGCTTGATTTAGATACAATTCTCGAAAACTTAATGTCAGTGAAATAAACAGTATGGACCAATTTTCCACACTAAATAGTTTTACCTTGCAAGTTGCTGTGACTTTTATTGCTTGGTATTTTGTTAGTTCAGCATCTAGTATTGTCAATAAAATTACATTACAGGTTATTATTATTGCTTTATTTTTGAAAGTATTTTAAAATAATCACTTGATCAAATTTACTGAATTCAATAAATATTCTTTGAGTTTAAATTTGTATTACTTTTTTCAGAAATTAAAAAAAATCACCGGCCTATCTAAATGCCGAAATTTCACATTTTTAGCAAATTACATTTTATTTTATTTTAGTTAATGCTAAAAATGGCATACTTTTCTTTGGCAATTTTATTATCACTAATATTATTATTTGTTTACAATTATTAAATCTTGAAATATCTCATTTATAGAGCTATCCATATCCTGTGACGGTTGCTTTGATGTCACTTTGTTACGTTGAACTTTGTTCTGTTCCGGTATTTCGGTTATGGCGTATCAAGCAGCCGTCTATATCGAACTATTATCTTATATATTATATCATTCCAATCTCATTTGGTAAGGTGATTGCTGTTGTTAGTGCATATGTAAGTGTTTGGAGAGTCTCAGTTTCATACGTACAAACAGGTAAGCTGTTTTGATTAGCTTCATGCCTTGAATTTATTCTTAAGTAAAGATCATGCTTAATTTGAATAACTTTATTTATAAATTAAGGTTAGTTTTGCTTCTCAAAAAAGATAATTTTTTACTAGCAAAATATTATATCTAATGGTAAATATGGCACAAATTTAAGTGCTACTTTTTAATTTCATAATTGATGCTTCTGTTTAATTTCAAGCAAAAAGTTCTTATTTTGGTATATATTTGTAGTAAAAGCAACAATGCCATTATTTGCTGTTTTTTCCGCTCGAATCATTTTGAAAGAGCGCCAAAGCAAGCATGTTTATCTATCATTAATACCGATCATAATTGGTGTAGCTATTGCAACATTTACCGAATTATCGTTTGACTTAGGCGGTTTATTAAGTGCTTTATTATCTACTGGTATTTATGCGATGTTAAATGTTTTTGTTAAAAAGGTTCGAATTTTTTTTAATATTTATTTCAGAAATTTGGCTATTTATACCTTTTGCGATTTATAGATGGTTACGACGTAGTATAGTTTGAGGAAATCACCTAATTTTTTTCTTTTTTTTCTCTACAACGGATAGAACAATGGTAGAGATATTGCTATCAGATGGAATCGGTGTAAGTTAAATAAGTAGTTCATCAGCAATACAGATTTAGTGAGTGAAAGTTGGATGATCTGAATGGTCTATAAATTTTTAATCAACAGATAAATCAAGCGAAATTGATTCGGTTAAAAGGTTAACAGGAACAAATTATGTGAGAGATATATGGCATTGAATTGATCATTTTGCTATAAGAAATATTGATCTTATCATAATTTCTTATGGCTATTTTTATTTCAGGTATTGGAAGGAACTGATATTCATCCACTTCATTTACTAGCCTTAAATTCTCGTATTGCTGCCATTTTGTTATTTCCGGTTTGGTGCCTCCGTGATGGCTTACTATTTTGGCGTGGTGTTGAGTTAACAGTATGTAATTTCTCTATTGTTTTCATTTTTTTATTATTTTCCATGGTCTTTGCTTTTTGCACTTTCTCGGTTTTTTTTATATAATTTTATGTACGTCTTGTATATTTTCAATTTATAATGGTTTCAATTACATCATATTTCGCCGTAGCATCTTAGAATGCGCAGAATATAAATTTTCACTTACGTCGATTTTTCTTTTCTTTTTCAGATATTTTAAGGCATAGTATTAATTCATATCTGAGCTGTCTTTAGATTTTTCATTTTCATGAAATTTTTTAGTCTTTTTTAGAAGAATCAATCGTCACCTCACGAGCCAACTTTTGTCGTTTTTTTATTGCTTTCTGGCACACTTTCATTCCTTCAAAATTTGTGTGCTTTCATATTAATTCATCGCTTATCTGCACTTTCCTACGCAGTAGCAAATGCAGCCAAACGTATCACTGTAATATCTGCGTCATTAATTACTTTACGTAACCCAGTAACTCCAGCCAATGTTTTCGGCATGTTTTTATCCATATTCGGTGTTTTCCTTTATAATCGGGTAAGATTTGACTCTTACTTGCTATAAAATGTATAAAAGGATTGAAATCTACATAAGGTGACTTCAAGCCTATGAAAAAATTTCGTGTATTTTTCCATTTAAATTTAATAGTGTTATAGTTTTCTTTAGATATTTGCAAAAATTTTAGAAATTGCTCTAACTAAAGAATTATGACATGAATTCTAGGCTAAACAGTGCGAAAAAAAGTGTCGCGTTTTGCCAAAATCGCAAACAGAGTTAACGATATCTAATACTTCGTCGGTTTTCTTGAATGGTTCAGCAATCTATAATGACAGACTTACTCCAGAAATACCATCAATTGATTTGGTCCAAATGATTTGCTGTTGTCCAAAATTGTTTCTTCGTTGGGCAGTGGTCGCTATTTTTGTTGCCGTTTTAATTTGTTTATTTGCAGGACATCCAGACATCCGGTAAGTTTTGATTAATTCACTGACATTCTAAATAGGATTGTGTGAAATGTATTAAAATGCCGACTTTTACTTCTCGACGTCGTTCAGAACATTTTTTTATTTTGTTCGCATCGAAGAATGTGTGTTTTTATTCACTTGAAAGTTCATTCCCAACATTAGTTTCTTGCTAGATGAATTGTTATTAAGATTACAGTTATTCTATCAATATAACAAGTATTTTTACTTTTTTGATTTATTCAAAGTACAAGAATATTGCAAAATTGAATCAAAACTTGAGCTTTATTTATATGTTTTCCAATTTGCATCAGTGCTAAATGTGACCTCTTTGTATGTTAAAAGTGTTCGCACTATTTTGCGTAGTATGCACCGAAGTTAATTTTTCTCAAATCTAGCATAAATTATGAGTTTTATGTTAAATAATGCCGAATTTTAATTAGGCTTCACTTTATCATAATCTGTGAAATAAGATATTGCGTCTACGGTTTATTATTTATTATTTGCAGGTTTTATTATTGCTTTATATTGTTATTTTTATATGATTTGATTGCCAGATATTTTGACAGACAGAAAAAATACGGCTGCTATTTAAACTTCCAAATTTATAAAAAGTTGTTGTTGAATAGTATATGTCAATGCATAACAGTTATTTCAACATGTTTCCTGTGTTTTCTTGCCTTTTCCAATCATTAAATTATTATAGAATGTCTTGGAGAGAAATTATTTCCAATCATACATTATTTTTTTCTTCTCAAAATTTGTTAACTTACCGTTTTGAAATTTAATTTTTCTGGGAATTATTTTTGATTAAATTGTTTTCGTTACGTATATTTTTATATTAAGAGGATAATAAATTAATAAAAAATTTCGATATTTTGATATCACCATTATATTTCCATTTGGGAATCACTTATATATACATGTGAAGATCGTATCTTTCATATACGCTTGCTTAGACATTCATGCCCGGGAAATGCGTAGATATTAGCAAACAAGATTTTATCTCGAGTTTGATCACTACTTATAAAACTTTTCATGAATTAGTTAAAATGAACAACTTCTAAGACTTCAATTTTTATGAAATCAAAATTTCCTTAAAGCTTTCAGGAATATATGAGAACCTGCAGTCCTTATTTACTGAGAGAACGAAAAACATACGATAAATATTTCACAAGACTTTTTATAAAAGAAAAGAGTGAAACCAAATTAACGGTTTTGTCTTGGGGATGAAAGTTTTAGCATCAATCTTTTATCAATTTTGCCTGATCAGAATTCGGCTCTGCATACTAATAATAAGTATGTACACATCATAAACTTGTTCGGATGCTAATCTGATGGAAACTTTTATCAATTGAGGAAAACCTGAAAAGATAATTTAATTCTTTCTAAAACTTTAAATTTAGACACGAAGTTGATCATATCGAAAATTCCCGAAATATAATTCAGCTTGCTGTGTTGGGAGAAGTTATTTGACGAATGATGCAGCTGAGAAAACTTATTGAAGAGAAGTTCTAAAAAAAAAATTTCGGAGACATTTCCCATTTGAAGGTAATCTCGTAGTGATTTTTATATTCCTAAAGAAAATAAGGTAGGATTAGGTATTATTCTAAGAAGAAAGCAGAAAAGAAATCTTAGTTTTCAAGTTATCCTTCATTTTTCTACGTTTAAAAAAAATTTATGGGTTAAAGGGCGAAATTAAAAATTAAAAAAAAAAAACATTCCATATCATTCATATTGATGTCTCCTTTCGCCATCAGAGGATGTGAATTTTAGGAATGAAAGGAGAGGTCAACAAAAATCGCCAGAAATAAGTGAATAAATTCGAATTTAATTTAAACCAAAATTTAAATACAGAGGAATTACTAGGGAGATTTATAATGTAACCAAGGTTTAACTAAAGTTAAGGGACCTTTAATTAAGGTTAGTTTTGATTTGCAAAAGTTTTTTTTCTTTTTCATGACAGTATTGAATTCTTTAATTTGTGTTTTTTTTTCACTCTCAAATATCTTTTACTCTTTTTGATTTATTCCTCCAAACTATTTTCTTATTTAAAATAGGAAGAGGGTGATAAATCAAAAAAGGGAAAAATTTTCCTTTCATTTCATACATTGTTCCTAATCATTCCGGACCTTTGGAATTATTTGTCCATATTTTATATTATGAATTCTAACATCTTTCCACGTAACGTGAAAATAGATATAGAATAAATCAAAAAATGAAAAAAACAAGCATATATTATCCGTATGCTATGTGTAATATTCTTCTCTATTTCTTTATCCTTGTTTCTAAACTATCTTTTATTTTCATTCTTTACATCATAAAATGTGTACTCACTTTCTCCTTCTTTTTCTCTGTTCTATGTTTCATGTATTGTATTTCAACTATTCTCTTGCAACATTACGCGCAATATCGCATTTATTTATTTAATTCATTTTCTGATGATCGATAACTGTCATCACTTAGGTTAAAGCAAAATGATCGGTTCTAGGATTCATTGAGAAATACCGGGAAAAAATGGAAGGATTATACTTTTAACTTCATCTTACCTTTATCACATTTTCAATTTCTAATTATTATCTCATTGTTCATCAGAGTGATGATTGATTACTAAATGGTATTGATTGGAGCTGTAATTAATTTTCGTCAAAATGATAATAACAAAATAATAATTATCACAAAGTACAGTTAAATTTTGATAATTACAATTTTTTCAAGCACGAATGAATATCTCTCTGGATGATGAAAGAAATTTGAGATGAAAAGGAGTGATCAATAAATTCAGGAAATTGTATTATAATATCATTACCATTGTAATATCATCGCATTACCAATTTTCAAAGTAAAATTACATTTGGACAAAATAAGAAGAAAAAATATGTGTGATTTTAAAATTTTTTCTTTGCTTTTAATATAAAAAATATCAGTTTTTTTTCCTTTGGAAAAGATAGAAAAGGTATGAATTGAAATTTATGTGCAACTACAAAATGCTCTTTAAATCAAATGTGGCATTAATGTTTATTTGAAGAATAGCGATGCACTGTAATTGGGGATAGCAATGGTATATTTAATTAATTCAATGCCTACATTCTTGGTAATGGAAAATCCTTTCTTAAGATGGATAAAGTATAAAACAAAAATAATTATAAAACGAAAATAAATAAATTGGTTAAAGTTAAATTTCATTCGTTTTTAACTTTTTTTTCTATTTCATTCTTTTTTACTCATAAAGATGGATAAAGTATAAAACAAAAATAAATTGATTAAAGTTATATTAGACACAGTGATATAAAAATACATTACTAGAAACTAAATATAGATAAAATGTATTTATAAAAGAAATTAAAATTCCTTGGTATTCATTAAAATGATATCTGATATTATTCTTGCAATCATGATAAAAAAAACGAATAAGTTTACATTTATAAGATTTCAACAATATAAAACATCAATAAACTTTGATAATATTGAAACAAAAAACTTTTGAAAATTAAAAATTCTTTCGTTCCATTCATTGATAGCCTGTTTTATGCAAATTCATTTCAGAATAATGGAAGTAATATATATTCATTGAGATTATACCATTCACCGAAAATAATACTGCGATGTGTTCGATCATTCCATTTCCATGAAATGAAATTCATTACTTTAAAATAAAAGTATCAAAAATGTTCAACATTTTATACATCATAAGAAATGGAGGATAATTTATATCAATTATACAGCTTTATATGTTAAAAATAATACGTACGCTATGTTTGAAATTTGCAATCTTTTTTTTTTGGTACAACAAAAAAATCATATTGTTTATGCATCATTTAGTTTATCTAAGGTAAATGAAACGAAATCAAAAGACAAGATTTATGTGATAATTTAGTAAAATTTTATGCTAGCGGTAACAATTGATATTTTCTGAATTCGATATTTTCCTGGATTTCAACATGAAATTTATGATAGTTCTTGCGTTCATTAATCTATTTCAGTAATAATCAAATTTTAATGGAAATTAAATTCCCAATCACATTTCTTTTTCTTTCGCTTCTTAATACATATTGTAATTTTTGAATTCATAAAAGATAAAAGTGATGCAAGGAGAAGAATAAGTGATATATATCGTCATGGACTATAAACCGGAAATAGCAAAAGTGAATCAGGAAGCAGTTATCAATGCTAATAATATCACATGTAATATGGATATAAGCATTACTGATTTTCAGATTTTCATCTTCTTTATCGCTAATTGTACAATAAGAATTGAATGATAATTCTAACGAATTACAAACTCAATAACTGATAGTGCGACAATGAGCAAATTAATAAAATTTTACGGAAAATTGCCAAAAATTTAATTACATAAGAAAAGTATATTGTAATGTGACAAAATCGATGAACCATTGTTGGTAAGAAAGACTGTATGCCCATGCATTCTTTAGAAATATCAATAGGTACGATGCAAATCTTATCAATATATCATTTACATTATAATTTGTTTTAATCAGCTACATTTTAATTTATTTCAACTATAAATTAAACATTCCTATCATAATTTACTTTATAAATTACTCTAAAATTACTCATTTATAGGAATTAAATAAACAAAATAAATCATCCAAATACAGAAATATATATATATATTTGTTTCCCGAGATTGTATAAGATAACGGCATCTTATAATGTTAACTTGCAAATCTGATAAATTTTTCATAAAGCGAATATCAAAGTGCAATACATTAGGGTTTTGGTTTGTTTGTTATGGTGTTTGTAGAATGTTTGTTGTGACATTTTAGCAGAGCTCGTTCGTTGGTTGTTTATCAGATGGGTGCTGATGTTATCATCAATCTTTCACCTTTAACATTGTTTCTTTTCGCAGAAATTTTGAATTTTCAAAACAATTTTGAAAAAATTTACAATTTAAAACTGATTATAGTATTATGAGTACGAATGCGATAGCAGTGTTACGTGGCAATACTGTTAGTGGAGTTATTCGATTTAAACAGGTAAAAAGAAAACTTTAATTAAATGATAGGATTTTGTGAACAAAATGTTGGCTTAATTTGAGTTTTAATTAATTCAGTAAAGAATTATTTTTCTCTTTCTGATATACATTGAAGGGATATTTTTATTCCTTCAGTGTAAATCAGAAAGAAAAGAAAATGGATAGTTTAATTCCACTTTAATTTATGGGTATTGTTGTCATTAATATTGCATGTATGAATTATGGTTAGACTTCTCATACGGTAACATATTTAAGATGAACTGAAACTGATAGCTTTTTTTATTCATCAAAAATTACTTATTTCGTTTGTGTTTGGTTAATAATGTTTAAAACAATTTTTTTTTTTTTTAAGGATAAGGAAGGCTCACCAACAATCATTAACGGTGAAATCAAAGGTTTAACTCCCGGTTTGCATGGTTTTCATATTCATCAGTATGGTGACACTACAAACGGCTGTATTTCTGCTGGTCCACATTTCAATCCCCATAATAAAACACATGGCGGTCCAACCGTTAGTTTTATTCTATCTCCAAAGGAAGAACGAATTGCATGAAACGTATGCTAGTTTATTAATTTAATTTCTGATATAATGTGTGATCTTAAATTTTTACGATAAATTTTTTTAATTTTTGATAAAGAATAAGCAAGTAGTTTTAATGGAAAGTAATTTTTTTTAATTTCATAATTCACAATTTTTAGGATGAAATAAGACATGTTGGTGATCTTGGAAATATTGTCGCCGGAGCCGATGGCACTGCTCATATTGATATTTCTGATAAGCAAGTACAGGTATAGCGAAATTACTTTGCGGTATACCGTCGTAAATTGAATTATATTTCCGTTATTTGTTTTCAGTTACTGGGGCCGAACTCGATAATTGGCCGCTCAATTGTTGTGCATGCTGATGAAGACGATCTCGGGAAAGGAGTTGGCGACAAGAAGAATGAAAGTTTGAAAACCGGTAATGCTGGTGCCCGTGTTGCATGCGGTATCGTTGCTATTGGTGCTGATTCCTGAATTAGTTTCTTTATTTCGTGAATTTTTTTTTAGAAAAGAGAGATTTTAATGCCCTGACAGCGATTTATTAAATGTCATTCCCTTATGCTTCATATTTCTGTCTTTTATGACATTTTTTTGTATGGAAAAGAATTCAAGTTCCCTTGAAAGAGGAATGTGCATTTCGTTATCCTTCCATTTTCATTTATTAATTCCGGCATTGTTTCTTATTATTAGATCTAGCATTTATTGTATTATTGAACCATGTAGTAAATGCTCCCACATTATTCATGTAGAACATCAAATAAAGAGTAATTTAAAAGACAGAAAATACACCCAACATTTTTTGATTTCTGTGTGTTTTTTCTGTGTTATTCCAGCTATATATTTCTCTTTAGATATTATATCTCAATAATGTTTCAACAAATGTTAACATTACAGTGTTCAAGAACATTATGCTGTATGAAAATGTTATTTCTTTCCTGATTCTCTTCAGGCATTATGTTGTATTCATCTTCTTAGTTCATTTCTGCATTTCTTAAATTTTAATAAAGTTTCGCTTGGTTAGTTCGAAATTTGATTTAGGAATGGAAAGACCTGCGTTTATTTTTTTTAAATACATATGCCTAAGCTGTATTTCGATAAAACATGCAATGACAAATAATTACGTAACAGTAAAGAAGAGAAGCGAATATTGCACTTTGAGTGAAAAATTTATGGTAAAAGTAACTACAGGATGGAAAATATGCAAATTTCCTTGTTGAGCAAGAAATTTCAAAGAAAATTTTTTCCCAGTGTTTATTGTAGTGAATGTAGCCTCAGTCAAAACTGAGGAATCGACGGAGATACGAATGATTAGCTGCTTATATTTTAAGATTAGCCTTTTCCTAAAAATTTAGAAAAAAAACGTGGCAATGAAGGCGTATGAATGTCAATTGTTGTCTGAAATAAATCAATCGAAATTTGATTTGCTCGAACCAAACATCTGAAAATGTCGCACTTTTCGATGATGAAATTTCGCCCACATTTGATTATTTTTTTCTGGAATTGATTTTCGATTTTTCTTTTTTAAGAAAAATATCAAAAAGTGAGCACCAATATTATTAATGTTCACCACTCACCACTAATTCTTTTTTAGTTTTCAACATCAAATATATATATTGTTCACTTTTTTTTGATATTTTTACCGGAATTTAAATCTGAAATTAGTGAAATGTGTTCAAATCCTTTGGGCAAATGAAAGATACATTGAGATATAAAATATTGATTTCATCTTATAGTTTATTCACTCTTATTAATTGAAGCTTAGAGATGAAGCTGTGACGTATGTAAGAATGGTATTTTATCAAATATTATTTTCCATATTTATGTATATATATTTGCACAATACAGTTTGATAATTTATTAAAAATTTGAAATATACTGTTACAGTACATTACAATTGACAAATAATTGACAGGAAGTTGAAGACTAATAATGCTGTTGAAAACATATGGGTGGGAAATTATCTTTACGGAGTAAATTTTATTTTCAAAGTAAAATGACTTTAAATTGAATCAGCAATGCCAATAATACCGCATGTAACACGGCTACCAGCATTACCAGTTTTCAAACTTTCTTCCCTTTTATCACCAATTCCTTTACCTAAATCATCTTCCATCGCATGCACCACAAGTGAACGTCCAATTATTGAAATTGGACCTGATAACTGAAAATCCGAAATTAAGAAAATTTAGAAAACCTATAAATCATATTTAAAAATCAATATTTTCAAACTAGTTGCATACATACCTTTATGTAATTACTGCTAATATTAATATGAGCAATGCCATCAGCTCCAGCTTTAATATTTCCAAGATCACCAATATGTTTTACTTGATCCTTAAAATTGAATCAATTACTAAATTTCGGATATAAAAAGGCTAAAAATAGTCTATTTTTATTCCATAAGCTTTATTATATAACTTTTCAATTTTCTATCATTTAAACTATTGTAACGAAAAATATTTAAAACCTAACATTTTATTTCAAAAATTATTCCATTATGACGAAGAAGGATTAAATAAATTTTAAATTATGCAAAATTTTCAATCGATATAACCATTATCTCATGTCATCCCTCTTTCTGTTTCTTTTGGATAGAATGAAAGTAAACTAACGGTTGGACCGCTATGAGTTTTACCGAACGGATTGAAATGTGCACCGGCAGATATGCAACCGTTTGTCATGTCACCATACTGATGAATATGAAAACCATGCAAACCAGGCGTTAAACCACTAATTTTTCCATTAATCATTACTGGTGAACTTTTATTATCCTATTAAATTAACATATTTTTAGAATTTATCAATTAATCAGTTACACATTTAGAAACAAAATAGGATAATAGCACTGTCAACAGCTTCATGGAAACGGAAATTTAAATAATAAATTTCATTTTGTATTTCAGTCAATGCATTATAGAATATTTTATTTTAAATCTTTTATTTTTTAAAATAAACAATGAAAAGATAATATGAGAATATTGATATAATAATTGATAAATGATAAATCGAAAGCAATTGTTCATGTCGTCATACGTCAAAGATGATGCCAAAAAGCAATTATTCACGTAACAATGTGTTAAGCGTGTCTGTCATAGATTAAAGATGATATCAAAAAACGACTGTTCATGTAAGAACGTGTATTAAGCGCTATCGATCTAATCTGTGCTGCAATTCAACCGTAAGCAAAACAAAAATAAAATGAGGAAAATGTATGGAAATTGAAATTATTTTGAAATAAAAATAGTCACATTAACTGTAAGCATAAATTACCTGTTGAAAGAAAATGGTTCCATTAACGGTGTCACTACGCAATACTGCTACTGCTTTCATCTTTGTTGTATAGTTTCGTGTTTTTAGCTGAAAATTTTACAATATTAAAAAATGAAATTATACAATGCAAATTAGAGAAAAAAATATAAGCTAATGAAAATGAATAATTAATTAGTTATGTTTCAGTAAACAATTTAAGCTTATCCTACTGTCTCATTTTCTTTTTTTGCTTTATTTTCATTTGATCATATAAAAGTTCACGTACTTTAGAATTGCTTTCACGTGCAATGTACATTGAATCAGCATAGATAGCGGAAATTATATACAGTAAAAAGATGATAAATGAATGCATCATCTGAAATTTATTAATAACATTGAATAAACATTCAGCAAAATAATTTTAAATCAAAAATTACAAACGGCTATAATTATAATAATCCTTTCGTATGTTGAATAGCAAAAATTAACGAATTATTATAGTGATGTTAAATGAGAAGTAATTACGAAAATATCCGGTACAACAAGTTCAGGCTAAAAATAATTAATCGTTACAATTATAATGATTATTAGTTATATTATTTTGCGTGACAGTATTTTTTTAATAACAATAACAATGAATATATATGTATGTATTAAAAAAAAAAAAAACAAAAATGTTAAATAATCAGCTTATTTACGCGAAATGAAGAGAAAGTGAAACGACGTGAGTTATTCAATAATTAACAGTGAACAAACCGATTCATCTCGAATGAACTACGCCACCATCAATTTCTAATCACTGTGCGCACGCATATAACGCAATAGACACTCGTACTTACGCGCATATCCACCCACACACACACACACACACACACACCCAAACACACTCACCAACATATACCCATACACACGCACCCGCCCACATCCATCCACATGCACCTACCCATACACACTCCCACCCACATGTACCTACACGTACACGCCCAACGCTCCCACCGACATACAGCTAGACGGACGCACGCACTCACTCATACACAGCCACACACATATACAGATGTTAAGTTTTAACTTTTTTCACTTTAAAAGTAAAATGTAATTGTTGTTTTTCAATTTTTTTTACCATCGACATTAGATGATAAAAAGTTTTCAACTTTACCATATAAAGTTAAATATATATATATATATATATAAATATCATTACGTTTCAGCTATTACTGCAGATTTATTATTTTCAATTTTTTACAAAATTTTATACATTTGTTGGGTAATTTACATGACGAATTCAAGTTTTGTTCTTTTTAAATTTATGCATTCATATTTTCAATTGATTAATTTCTTGTAAAAAAAATAAGTAAGCTATGATTTTGCTTCAAAAGATTGAAAGTTTTTGAAATTATTATGGATGGAATGAAATGATGAATTCTATGTCTCTTCCTGGCACCGTTTGTTGTTTGAGCACTTAAGACTTATTTAAATTTGTTGTTTGACAATTTCAAACGGATTTACACCATTTGATGAGAAATTATAAATTATTTAATTGCACAGTTGAATAGAATGATTATGGTAAGAACATTTAGAAATTTGAAAAAATCGCTGCAAGCAATTTCAAAGCACAGCAAAAAAATGGGGAAATTGTTATTAGAATTTAAACGATTCACATAAATTACAGATATTATTAAAATAAAATACTGTGCTAAGTGAGTGAAAATTTCAAGGATAAATACAAAAGAATGAAGAAGTAGTGCAAAAGTTTTTTGAATATGTATTATTTCCTTTCATTCATTCCATTTTATCAATTTTGGGAAAAAAGATAAAAAATTGGAAGTAAAATTTTCAATTTGAAATTTTAAATATCTGCACGATCAAAAAAATTCCTGCGCACTTTCAAAAAAAACGAAAAAAAAAGATTTTCTGACATAATTTTTTTTCTCTTCTTTTGACGGTCAATTTTTTCTTAATTGAAGATTAATTTTTCCTGCTTCCCATCGAAAATTTAACCGCAGACATGTTTTTTTTGGGTCTTTTTAAACAGAATTATTTAGTGGAAATATATGTAATACTAAGGAATGTTACTTTTTTAACTGAAAAAAATCAAATTTCAAAAATAGTTTCAGCTAAAAATGAAAACTGAATGAGTGTAGGAAATT